CTTTATCTGGAGGTACAACGAGGAACTCTATGTTCCCCATTGGGGTCGAAAAACAGGGGGGGGGGCAGAGAAGAGGTTTTGAAAATAGCCAAGGATGGCTTGCTTTATTTGAGGAGGTTGGTCCAGGAGATTATCGCCTACCAATAGGTGTGTGATGGTGTTGTCTCTGCGCTTGCAATTGGCCGTCTTGTGGAAAAAGTCAATGTTGAGATCCTCGGCCTTTAACCACTTGATTCTGGACCTCTGGTACCAGAAGATTTCCTCTTTCTTGAGGATGGCTTGATATTGGAGCTTAAGTTCGCCTTTGTGAGTGAATTCCGGCCCCGAGAGGCGTCTTGGTTCTTCTAGCGAGTCTAAGGTCTTTATGGCTTGTAGTGTAGAAGTTTTTTGTGGGCCTAAGAACCCCGGTAGACCCTTGCTCCAAGATTTTAGGTGAGCTTTCAATAATTGCAACTTGCGTTGAAGTTTGAAGCCTACCCAACCATCTACCATATCGGAAAGAGACCTCCACCATGCCGGAAAAAGGCTAAGGAGTGAAGGTTTTTCTAACCATGTCAACTCGAACCTAAAGGGTTTAGACTAGTCTCGGTTGGGTTGGAGTCTAGAGGAATGGGACAGTGGTCAGAAGTGTGTTTTGGGAGAGCTAGAGAATGTGTCCCAGGAAAAGTGGAGTCCTATTCTTTAGATATGAGGAAGCGGTCAAGCTTAGAGAGGGTTGGGTTGGAAGAGTGGTTAGACCGGTGAACTGAGTTCTCTGATAGGGGAGATCGATCAGGTTGTTCAAGGCAATGAAGTCAGAGAAGGCTGTCATTGCGGGAGTGATTCTACTAGAGGTGTTTCTCTCATGGGACCCCCCTATACACCAGATTGGGTGGGACAGATTAGCAATCCGGTTGAGTTCTTCCCACATGATCAATTTGTCAGCGTCCAAATTGGGTCCATAAACCGCATAAGATTTCTTGGGCAGACCATTAGGGATCTTAGAGAGTAGGATAAAAACAACGAATTTGGAAACAAGGTGAGAATGCAGGGAGTGTGCTGTGGGGTCCCAAATAACCCGGATTCCTCTCGAGGCTCCTTCGGCTGGAAGTGCAACCCATTGACATGGTCTGCGCCCTCAAACTTGTCGAACTTGTTGCAGGGTAGGTTCAGGCCAAAATGGTGGGCCTGTGTCTAAAGCAATGGTTCTTGACTGCCTTCTTTTTGTGAGGTAATCCGAGCCCTTGGATATTCCATGAGAGAATCAGCATTGGGGAGTGAAAGCAAGAGGAGAGCTCTTAAGGGACCGCCTGACCAAAAGGCCTTTGGGTGATCTTTAGGCACGATAGGGGAAACAGAGAGATTGGAGGAAGAGGGTTTATCGTTATTGATACTACATGCCAAATTGTTTAATTTGCGGGTGCCATTCTTGCTTATCTGAACTCGTAATTGCATGTCTGCCTTGAAAAATTCTAAAAACCGTCCTTTTGATCCGGTTTGTGGAAAGTCCATAACTTTGAAGACATCCCATATTTGTGCTTGGCCTTTATAGATTCCATTGACATAATCAGATTCCACCGAGGGGGGAGAGAGAGGATCCCCCATGATGTCCACCGATAAAGAGTATCCTGTGGAGGCTGGTGTTGATGGAGCAGGGGTGGGTAAGGTTTGTAACACCAAAAAGTGTAGCCCGTCGGCTTCTGTAGGTCTGAAGATTCGCTTCGAGAGACCGAAAGGATCCGCTATCGAGGTGGTGCCAGGATCGACCAGAGAGAGGGTAGGTGGTGTGTATGCGATCTTTGGGGTAGTGGGTGGAACAGAGGAGGGAATAGAGACCTTCCCGACAGTAGTTGTACAAGAGGGTAGTGAAAGCAGAGGGACCGATGTGGGATTAGGCCTAGGAGTGGGGTTAAGAGAGTGAGAGGTGGAATGAGATATTGGTTGGGGGCTCGGTGAGATAGGGCGAGTGGAGGTAGCAGGGAAAGGGGAGGGAGGGTAGAGAGTGGAGGGGCCATAAGGAACCCTGGATAAAGGTGAATAAAGAGGGCTGTGAAAGTTGGGTGGCAAAAGGGTGGAGAAGGGATCGAGAAAAGGAGGGATAACAGGTTGTAGGGATGGAGGGACAAGGTTTGGGATGAATACTGAAATGGGAGAAACATGGGTGAGAGGAACATTTATGATAACAGGGTCTGCACTTAGGGGGTCAGAAGGTAGACCCACAAGAACGGGTGGAAGCAAGTTGCAAGCGAAGAGCTTAGGGTCCATTGTTTCCGGGGTTGTCTCTGCTCGAGAGGGTTCTTGTTCGGCCAAGGGAGTCAATGTGGTAGGGTCGTGCTGCTCTGGATCGTTGCCCCTTTCGGACTCCAAATCGATATAAAGAGGCGAGAGAAGAGGTGAAGGGGTAGTTCCCTGATGAAAGGGAGATAGGAAGGGGGCTATGGAGGCCATCTTAGTGGAAATAGGTGGTAATGATGGTGAGGCCTCAGTAGGGTGGCGTTGTGCAGGGGCTGACGTGATGACGGGAGTCGAGGATGGTGAAGAGAACAAACCGGGAAGGGTTGGGTGGAGCGACTTCGTAAGGGAGCTGAAGAAGATTAATGGTTGATGGGTTGATGAAGGGTGGGGGATGGTTTGGGTGCGAGAGGCCTCGGGATGGGAGACTAGGAGGGTTAAGGTGGCAAAAGGGGGGGTCGAAGACGTACAGGGGTTAGGTGAAGATGGCGGCAGAAGGGGAATTGATGGAACGTGCGCACGAACTCCTTAAGGGTCCAGAACGGTCATTGGTGTAGATGTGTCATCAAGTGTGGGCGGCGGGGCGGTGTCAAGGACCTGTCAGATGGAGGTAGGTGGCAAAGGTGAGTTGGGCCAACAAAGGCTTGACCCGGAAGCATGGGAGACTGCCGAGTGGCATGCATTTTGTTAGGGTCAACGGAGGTTGGAAGCACAGCTATCGAGGCGTCGGTATTGGTACGGGCTGTATCCAAAGTCGCAGAGGGGGATGGGGATGGAAGAGGTGGAGGTGGAGGAGGAGGTGGAGGTGGTGGTGGTGACGAGGGTAGAGGTGGTGGTGGGGGAGGAGGCAGGGTTGTGGGTAGTGGGGTTAGCAGAGGCGGAGTACAAGTCGGTGGGGGGGGTCTAGCTGTGCAGGTGTTGTACATTGAGGTTGTCCTGGGCGACGAGTGGGCGGAGGTCTACGCTCCCTGGGAGGTGGTATTTTTCTGGGGATGAAGATCCAAGGGTCCGAAAAATTGGATGATTCAGCGGGTGACTTGCGGTGATAAATTACCCCCTGCGAAGGCCCCACCGGGGAGACGAAGCGAGGTGAGGTTGGGGATGCCGTCGACTAAGAGATGTAAATCCGAAAAAAGTTTTCGGCTACTTCTAGCCAGAGGGAAGGTGGAATAAACTGAGGGTCAAGGACATCGACAATGACATGAAGGGACCCTAGAGGGGTGTTCTCCATCGATTTTCAATGGAATCCTACGAAGGAGCCGCATGCATTGCTGATAGCTTTGAAAGTGTCCTGGCACCACGAATGTAGGGGAATTCCACAAGCCATGATCCAAACTTTCTACCGGCGGAAGGCGCCAAAATCTTCTGTCCATTTGGAGACATAAAGGGAGGCTCCCTTGAAAGAGCCCAAAGAGGAGCGTTGGAGGATGGACTAGGCTGCAACAACGGAGGGGAAGGAAAACAGGTAGAACCCGTCGGAGATGGGCCTGCACTTGAGCTCAGGTTCCCTCCAGATTTCCTTGTCCCATCTTTCGAACCCTTTGTGGTCATTAAGCTGGGGGTGGACGACGCCAACTAGGGAGGATTTGTACAAGGCTTGCGAGGTTAGACGCTGGTATGGCGGGGAGAGAGATGAGAGCAAAAGAGTTGGAGAGGGTGGGGTGGTGGAGGCGATCGGTACCCATGGGCTCATGATTATATTTAAAATAGCAAATTTGAAAAGCCCATTTCAAATTTCAAAAAGCCAAGCCTGCTCCTTTTAAATTTCAACAACGTAGGCAAATTTTAAAAGAATGCCCATTTCAAATTCCAAAAAGTGTATATCATGGGATTGGACACAGGGTCCTCTTGGAGGACAAGGGTAAGGTCTACCATGTTGGCCAAGAGTTTATAATTGTGAAAAAATGATGACACTTTATATGTAAGTTTCAATATGTACTAAGTCCCTATATCATCACCTAGACACGTACGCCAGCATGTGTCTAGGCGTGACGACCCTAGACACGTATCTGCATGTCGACGCCTGACACGAGAGCAGATGGAGTGTCTAACATTGGTTGTTGGAAGTTGCGGTGTTTATCTTCCTTTTTTTTGTTGTGTGCTGGCGTTGTTTGTAAGTGTGAAAACATATATTAACTTCTAGAGTAATGCAGAAAAGTGGGAGCATACGCTGTGAACCATAAGTAATTTGAAGGCTACAGTCATTGAGAGATAGATTTAAGAAAGTTATAGGTTTGAATCTTTTCCAATATCTAGGGTGATTTTGTCAAGGAGACTTTAGTAGATTTTGGATAGGGCTTTATTGGGCATTGCATTGCTGGATTCAAAGACAAAATACAAAATGCTTCATACTGTCCTAAAAATTGGATCCATAGAAAGGTTGATGCCTTTGTAATCACTAGGAACAATAACAAGGTCCAGTGAAAGCTTTCTATATAAACGACCGGGGGGGTTCTCAAGAATGTGTTGTTGGTTTTCTCATTTAATCACAAGAAAATAAAGCAGGGTAGTAGGTACATATTTTTGAGGATGTAAAGTTCTGTAAGATATTTCCTGATTAAGCTAATTAGAAATTATAATGGAAATTCTAATGATGATACAATCATCATACTTCCAATGTACCTAAGTGTCCTAACATGTCTGTTAATTATTTTGTAACTAATGTTCTATACTGCTATTGACCTCTTGTTTTATAATGTGGATTTTGTAACTGCAACTCTTGCTTCAAATTTTTGTCATGTGTCTCTGGAGACTCCAATAATCTGAAGCTTGCTGAAGCTATTATATAGGTAAAACGTTGCGGAGAGATGTCACGTAAGCTGCGATTCTTCTCTGATCAAATTAGCAAAGCCGGTCTATCATCATCTTCCACTCCTTCTGGAATGCAGCGAGAGATGGACCTGGAGGAGCTAGAGGTGCAAATAATCATATGAGAAGAATTTTCAGCACGTTTTTCTTTATTGAGAATCAATGAAAGCTTAATTTTTCTTTATTGTATCAGAAAATTCATCTACAGGATGGCTCCTTTCCCCTAGTAATTGTCATTTTGATTTATGTGCAGATCCAACTTGCTGAGCATGAAATAGAACTACTTGAGATGAATGCCAATAGTGAAAAACTAAGTCGGACTTACAATGAACTTTTGGAGTTCAAGTTTGTTCTACAAAAGGTGATCTTTTCTTTTGATTTCTAATGTAAAATTCCATTATGTTAATAGTGGCTGTTGTGAGTATTTAATGTTTTAAAATCTTGACTTTTCTGATACCTTGTTTTTATCAGTTAACATTATACATTCTTATTCCTTCTTTGGTAGGATTATTTTTATGCCTTGACTTTTTATTCTCTTTTGGGTAGGATTTCCCTTCCAGATGCCCCTTTTCCTTTCCCATTCTTATGGTTTGGGGATATCCTGGCCTTTTTAGTACATTAGATGAAACACATTATTTGATATGTTATGGATTCCAACATTCAAGTGATACATGCAGGCAAAAAAAAGGTTTTGATTCTTTAATTATCAAATAAAAAGCAGTTTCTGTTCTTTTGTGTGCAAGCGGGTTTGGTAAGACCTCAAATTCTTGAGCTCTTGCATATAAAATGTGATGCTACTTGGACTGTTGGCTGTAGGACACACTCTTACATAATCTTCTGTTCACATGTTGGTGCATGGTGAACATTTAAGATTTGTAGTGGTAAGTGAATTTGTAACTTTTGGTTTATGTGCAAATTTTATATTATCTGAAAATGATCTCACTACTGGGTACCGAGTACATGATCTGTCAGAAACTTGGAATTGGATATTAACTGATTGTAACTGCAGACTCCCAGAGGAGTGGATGAACTTCTTGTTATCCATTCTCCATTTGTTTATGTTCCTAAAGTGGGCGATTTCCCTCAAACTCTCTTGGGTATAGAATTAATGTTTTCTTCCACCAAAAGGTGTGATTAGCTGCCATATTAGGCAGGAAGCAGTGAATAAAACTATCGGCCTGTAGGATTGGGATTTCTTTATGATTTGATAAATGATATGCATTTTGTAAACCTGCACATGTCCACCAAAAATTCAATCAGCCCTAAGGTACCTCTAATTTCTGTGAAGCATCATCTCATAAATCTGTGGGAAATCTATTAGAATATACCTCACCTTTCAACTATTTTACATTTTACCCTTATTCTACTATTCTAAATCAAAATCATATGTATATTGGATAGGCATTTTCGAATTAAATGTAATTTTTATTTTTTGAATAAAATAAAATAAGGGTGCAAAAAGAAATAACAGAGAACAAAATGAAGTACAGAGGCAAAGGTATTTTTTTAAAAAAAAAATCAAAGGGGGGTTACTTGTGGATTGCTGTACCACAAGGGAGAGGTAGAACAGTAGTAGATGAGAGGATGTAGAATCACGAGGAAAGGAGTCACATTTCTAATTTTTGGAGGCTTTAAAGGTTCGAACTTCTTTGGAGGCTTCCTCTGTCCGTCGAAAGGGTTCTTCTTTCATCACAATTCTAATTTTCTTGTTGTCTGATAACACTGGAATAAAATGCTGAACATAATTTAAGCAACCAAGAAATTTCTGGCACTGTAGCTTATCTTGTAATCTATCTAGAACTTGATCGATCTTCTTTAGAACATGTGGGTGCATTTTTATATGGCTTTTTGATATTTTGGACTCCTAGATAGGGGTGGCAATGGGCCGGTTTAGCCCTGTCCGGCTCTTATTTTTCCTTTTTTTTTATAAATTTTTGGACCCAGGCCAGGCCTGATAGGGCTAGGGCCGGATCTATGCCAGGGTCTCTTTGTCCAGGTTAGGGCCAGGTGTGGACTACTGTATGGGGACGAGGGCCAGGGCTGGCCTGGCCGGTTGCCACCCCTACTCCTAGAGAATCAATTGTATCTTTCGCAATCTAAAATTTGTCTTTCGAAGAGGAGAGGCCAATTCCATACTTTTGCACAATATCAATGAAGACTTTTAAGTGCTCCAGATGTTCCTGGATATTATCAGAAAACACAAGGAAATCATCTATATATAGTTAGCAATGTATTTTTAAGATGGTTTGAAACTTGTGTGCATCCTTTTTGAAATTGTGATGGAACGTTATTCAGATTGAATGGCATCACCATTGATTCATATAGTCCTTTTGGAGTGGAGAAGTTGTTTTGTGAATAAACCTTTTATTCTATCTTGACTTGGTGATAACTGGATTTGCATTCAAATTTCGAAAAAATCTTTTTCGCTGCCACTCTCAGAGTTAATTCCTCTTTATTTCTCAGAGGCCATTTTATGTCTACAATTACCTGATTTAGAGGAATATAATAAATAACCATATGAGCTTTTCCTCTTTTTTCTTCTGAATGATGTCTAACAATAAAGCCTACACAAGAATAATTGGACTATGATGGTCTTGCCATTCTTTTAGCTTCCATTTCTTTCACTTGAGATTTTGTTTCTTCTTCATCTTCATTATTAAACTGATTTGGTTTTCTTTGAACTGGAACATCATGGCGATTGGTTATGTGGGCAATGGGTGAATCTTTATCCCAATTTTCTAATGGATGTTCAACACAACAATTTTTCAAAGCTTCTGTAACATCTTTTATATCCAATAATGTTGAACTCTTGTCTAAATCTATGCCTCTGATCTGTTTTATAATCTCATATTTTTCATGCTCTCTTTCTAGCTTCTGAACATTTTCCTTTTTTACTATTATAGAAGGATTTCCCTATATTTTGTTGGTTCTCATTTTGAAAGATGGGGGATTTATGGGAACAATTTCCTTTTCTTCTTCTATGGTAAGAATTAACAGATCTTTTGAAATGGTATAAGGGCCGATTTCATCAAGAGTTACTGAACCAATTCCAGCTTGATAACCACCGTCATCAATATTAACAAAGTTCACCTTAAGTACTTTTTCTCCAATTTTTCCAGGAACATTTATGGCAAATTTAGTTAATTTTCTTCTTTCATTCATAGTTTGGGGATATATTTTATCTAAGCCTTCCATAATTCTTTGGTGCAAAAGTTTATGTTGGCACCAATATCTAAAAATACTTCAAATTTTCTCCAATTTTTACCATCATCAATAGCTATTTCGGCTGGTACTAATAAAAGATTTTAAGCATGTACCATTTTTCTGAGTTGGTAAACATGACTTTTTGATGACTCAGGGTCGATCAGTTTACCAAATAAGCTGCAAAAATCCCTTTTATAGTCACTTTTAAAACTTTGTTTTATTTTTTTGAACTTTGGGCTCATCATCAGAGAAAATCAGTGACTCATCATTAGAAATCGATAGAGAACCTGCAGAGCTCTTATTATGTGATAGGGACAAGATGATCTACAAACCTCAACTTGTTTACCCTTTCTTTGCCTTTCTTCCTTTTCATCCTCAGAAACTTCATCTGCCCAAGAAGCTGTCTGTATCCGCCATGCAACTTCTTCTTCCCCAGAAAATCCTGTATCTGTATCAAACTTTGGAAAACAAGTAGAGGTAGGTTCTTTGATTTTAGGCTTCCAGTGTATAGAATCTTTGTGTCCAAGTGCTTCTTCTTCTATTAGCTCTATGAATACTGGATATGTGTAATTATATGTAAGGGGTAGATACATCTCAGATAAACCATACAAATTTTGGCAAAGATTTCTGTAGAAAACACAACCCTATGATTCGATCAAAGAAATAGGGGTAAGCATTTGTGGGCATCCATTCTTTTCGTAATGCCCTTTTTTTTGTGTGGACAATAGGGAGATCATGAATATACCAAGGACTTATTAATCTGTATCAAGCACATACGAAAATCTTATTTTCATGCTTCGCATGCTTCACAAATTTGATCTCCAGGAAAGGCTTACCAAAACCGGTTTTTTCAGGCACATCCAGATTGAAAACATTCTAGTAAGTATACTCACAAGCCATTTGTGCCAAAATTTTACCAAATCCCACCATGCTTAGCTGTGTGTAAACTCCTTTGGGTTACGGGCTCACTGCTGTTTGGATTTTAAGGGAATGGGATTGTAGACTCAACAGTGGAAGAGGTGAAACAGTGAGTCCCTCAGCATAACTCCTTTCCAGGTGAGTCTACCTTCCCTCTCTTCCTTTTGTTCTACCTCCCCTGTGGTCAACCATCCACAGGTAACTCCCTTTATTTTTTCAAAAAGGAAAAAAACCTGTGCCTCTCATTTTGTTCTCTGTTATTTTTTTGTGTCCGTATTTTCTTTTATTCAAAAAAATAAAAAAATCCACATATGAGTATAACCGATAAAATTGTTAACCACTAAGTGGTATTGGGCACCCGTTTCCTTTCTTAAATACTATAAATATGTAAGTTCTCATTAAGCAATGCAGAGTTGAAGAGATTTCTTGGAGTGTAAGGGCTGAAGTAGGTATTCTATCACTAATGATTCTTCGGTGGACTCGTCTAGGCCCATTCCAATACGATAATCAGGATAGTGATTTTCTGTTTTATTTTGGATGTAATTCGGTGGAAACACTGTTCCAAAAGGTGATATGCATCAGAAAGGCAAGTAAGTTGCAGATCTTAAAAGGATATCCTAACGGAGGTGGATGCTTGTCCCAAAATATCTATTTAGTCTTAGAGAGGCCAATAAGGGTGCCAGTCCCCCAGGCAGAACTCCTTTCCCGGTTTCTCCACATCTCTTAGATAGGCCAACTAGGGTGCCAGTCCCCCGAGCATAACTCCTTTCTAGGTGGCTCTAGATCCTTTTACATCCTGCTGCTATACCTCCCCTGTGATACAACCATCCACAGTAACCCCCTTTGGTATAGCCATCCACAGGCTTTCTAATGCGACTTGACACAAATATGCTTGAAAACATCTGTGAGGGGGAGGCCTTTTTTTTTTTAATAAGGGAAAAATTATGCTCTTCTTTTTATATACTGTGATATGTTATCAACTGACCTTTTTGAAAGACCATAATTTTTCCCTTATTATGAACATGAAGTTGCCGACAAAGGATGTATTATTGCTTAGCTCACATTTGTTTATCTATGATAGATAAGTTGTGTTTCCTTTATGTTATTTGATTTGCTTGAGGTAGCATTTTGATGTGCTCTTCTTTTTTCGAAAGTTTACAGATTCTAAATGTGTCAATCTTTTAATTGATGCATAGTAAGTAATTGATCTAATTCTTATGATTCTTACTATTGGTATTGTTCTTATTTTATGTATCTTTGTTGAGTTACTGTTCTCTGTGCGCCCCCATATTTTTGATTCCAGGCAGGTGGCTTCCTTGTTTCAGCTCAGAGCCATGTCATTGCCCAGGAGCAGGAACTAGATGAAAATGTGTATTCTACGGAAGACTATGTCGAGGACATGTCTTTGCTTGAACAGGTAAGACTTTGCTGTGTCATTGGATCTTGAATGGATGTATTTTACTACTATATCTTACCTGCTTTAGTTGCTCTTAACAAATTCAATTTCACAGGAGCTGAAGCAAGCGCCTTCAAAACAATCTGGTTTGAGATTTATCAGCGGAATAATTTGTAGCACCAAAATTACTAGATTTGAGAGGATTCTCTTTCGTGCTACAAGGGGGAATATGCTATTTAATCAGGCACCTCTTGACGAATATGTCATAGACCCATCATCAAATGAAAAGGTTTTATGCTGCAATACTGCTTAAAAGCTATTTATGTTGTCCCTTTTTCCTTCTTGATCTTTTGTCACTCCTTGACTTGCAATGGAATCTATGAGTAGGGCTAGTAACAGGCCCGGGCCGGCCCATGGATTTTCGGGCTGTGCCCAGTTTTGGGATAGGTTCTACCCAAATGTTAAGGCCGGTGGACCAGTTGTAGCCCGAACCTAGACTGGGCTTGTTTAGGCCAGCACTGGCTCAGACTGACCCCGGCCTGAAATTATTTTAACTATAAATTTTGTATATAAATATATAATTTTTTTCCATATTTAAAAAAGGCACAAGCCAGCCCAAAATTTTCAGGCTGGGGCCTAGTTATCATGAATTCGGGCTGTTCTCAGCCTTGAGCCAACCCAAAACTATTTCAGGCCAGCCTTTGGCTAAGGCTGGCCCAGCCCGAACCGCCCGTTAATAGCTCCCCTACCTATGCGCCTGCTACTTTTTTGTTTTTTCTGATTTTATCCAAAATTCATCCTTTGTTGTCGGGCTACCATATCACTTGATGGAATTACTAACTGTCAAATTGGGCACTTTCTTCCGAAGATGGTGCCTGTTCATTGATTGTAAAACTTCATTGATTCTGAAAGTTGAATTATGGATGCAGTTTCCTGCTAACACTTTCATTTTATGGCAGGTTAAGAGAACTGTTTTTGTGGTATTCTTTTCGGGGGAGCAGGCTAAATCAAAAGTCCTGAAAATATGTGAAGCGTTTGGTGCAAATTGCTACCCTGTTCCTGAGGAAATTAATAAACAGAGGCAAATAACTCGAGAGGTATGGATGATTATGAAGTGGTAACTCTTCTGGTCCAGTGAAAGATTATTTATTTTTTATGCTAGAGGAGTTTGTCTAGCTGTTCTTCATTTCTTAATCATGTCATTTACATTAAATGGTATTTGAAGCCGATTGTGAATCGTTCTTAAAGAATAATTTTAGTCCTTGCAGTGAACATATAGAGTGGTTCTCTGATGAAAATTTTGATGCATGCACACTAACATAAACAGCCGGTTATTTTTGTGTGTAAGGTATGGCACAGCCTGCATCAAGTATATTGACGGCTGCTGGCTTTCCAAAAGGATATATGTGCCTATCTCATTGAAGCTAATTCTTTGGGTCAAAATGTCTTTCCTTTAGTTTCATATTTCTGACCTCAGATTTAGTTGCGCTCCTTGGGAGTGCATGATCCTATCATTGTTAAGGTATTCTTTAGATTGTTAGATGGGCTTGTGTGACCTTGACTCTTAGGGGGCTGATGATTATAATATTGCAGACACTGGTGTATCTCACCTCTGATCTTGCTATGTGTTGAGGTAAGCTAATTGGTACACCAATGCTCTAGCCCATAGCGGAATGGCACCTGATACTATTGTGATTGATGCTGACTTTTCTGACCATTTATATGACACCTTGACATCACTTAGGAGCCATGGCCTTGACATGGATGTGCATGTTTTACTATTTTTTATAATAATCAAATCCATCTTTACTGGTAAAGAAAGGACGTAGTTTACTTTCTGCCACGATAAGGACCCAAAGTAGTAAAATCAAATTCCTTTTGGAGACTCTAAATAGTTGTTGAATGGATTGATAGCACAAACATAGGACATGGGACTTGTTTCATCCACTTTGGATTCTGGTGTACCACGTCTGGTGATAGCTGTTTATTGTCTAGATCTTGGCTTGTGCCTCTCTCAAAAGGGTGCAATGGAGATGCTGCTTTTAATAGCTGCTCATAACATAGTTCGAAAATTTGGCTGCCCAGCTGCCTAGGCCGCTGCTAAAGCCAAAACGCCTAGGCGGGCCTGAGGTGGGGTTCTAGGCGCTGTGCGTCTAGGTGCCTGAGGTGGGGTTCTAGGCGCTGTGCGTCTAGGTGCCTGCCAAGGCGGTGCCTCAACGCAGGGTGCCCGAGGAGGAAAAAGGCCCTCGCTAGGGGTAGTTTGGGGTTTTTCTTTTTCCTAAAAGGGTGTGAAAGCATTTTGGGGAGCCTTTTAGCCCTCAAAACCCTTTGTGTATTTTAGAGAGAGAAACTCTAAAAAAACCTTAGATTTTGAGATTTTTCTCAAGATTGAAAAAATTTCAACATTTTTGATTCTTATGAAATGAAAAGAAATACTTCTTGCTACTTTTGGAGCTTGGAGTGGTTGCATATGAGGACTTCTGGTGGCAAAAGATCACTAGGCCGATATCCGTTTCACTTTGAAAAGGTTAGTGCATTACAATATTTGAATTAGGGTTTGGTATTTTTTATATAATGTGTTATGATTTGATATTCTATTACTTCTTTTTTTTTTTCTTTTGTGATATAATTAAATGTTTGTGGTTGGAAACTTGAAACATTTTGTGAACATTTCCCAGTTTGGACCTATATCAAATATTTCCAGGTTTGGCCGATCCTTGCTCCTAGGCGCCCACCTAGGAGGGCCCCTGGCCACCTAGGCAGCTTGTTCCCCAAACTGCCTAGGCTGGTGCATTCGAATTTTTGAGCATTTTCCATTACCCATTGCATAAATTATTGTGCAAACTTTGGTAGTTACAGCCTACATAAAAGGGCAGTAATTTAATGGTGTAAATATGTTGTGCACAATGTCTTCGAGAGCCCAGTATTCACTTTGACTTTGTCTTTTTTGATGTTTCTTTCTTTGTTAGTCTTCCTTAAGGCAATGTTAGCACACTTGTTCCTTTGATGTTGGTTCCTTTTACCTGCCAAGAAGTTATTCATTCTTATGGTTGGAAGAGTTTTATTTTTATGGTTCCAAACAAGCGATGAAGTCTGTTCCTAAAGGAGCTTTCCACTGACCCTTAATGTTAAACTAAACTGTCCTATTTTAAGAACATTGTAAGTCAATTTAAAACAAAAGAACCTTGTGCCCTTCTAAAAAACTTGGGCGTTGTCTCATCTTCTGTACCACTTATTGTGATGACCAGGGCTCTTTCATGATGGCTCCAATTTCATTCTTGATGCCAAATCAAGCATAATGAGCTCACGTGCCACACTGTTTCTTCTTATCATTTGCTTATGTGCCCACATCACAATCGTTTGCTTCTTCATTTAAGTGATGACTACTGTGCCATGACCCCTAAATGGATTTATTCTCTACTGAGTTAGAAGGGGGACTGGACAGCATCTCTTATCATTGCTATATCATGGTAAATATATATTGGAATGTCACCTGCAAGATGTATTTTGGTCCTTTTTATTCATGATTTTGTTGGTGAGGCATTTATGTGCAACATGTTGTTCCTTATGTTATAAGTTCGTAAGATTTGGTCAAGCATTTTCTGTGGCTGCAATCTGCATTAATTTCCTTTCACTTTTCAATGTGGGATGTTGTCTTTTGTTGCTTCAAGCTACTTAGACATTTATGCTTTTCTAAAGAAACATTTATTTAGTTGTTTACCCAAATTGATTTCTTATTGTAGGTTTTGTCACGACTTTCAGAATTTGAAGCTACGCTTGATGCTGGGATCCGTCACAGGAACAAGGCTCTCACATCCATTGGTTATCACTTAAAAGAATGGACGTTATTGGTAAGTACCAATTAAATTGCAGTTTTTTTTTTTTTGATAAGAGTTAACATTTACAATTGAGACAAGCTTGACTAGTCTTGACCTTAAACAGGCTCTCAATTGTAAATGGGTGCTTTTCATACAATTTTACATGAATAGAATTTGCATATCCATGTGGAAATCAACATGACTAGCTATCATTTCATTGTTTCCAGGTGAAAAAAGAGAAAGCAGTGTATGATACATTAAACATGCTAAATTTTGATGTTACTAAGAAGTGTCTTGTTGGAGAGGGCTGGTGCCCTCTATTTGCAAAAGCTCAGGTCATATTCTTTATTAAGTAACATTTACTGCTGATGCTTTTTACATTCCAATGTTTAAAAAGTAAGGGCTTGGACTGGCTAGTGTCTGGCTCAAGTCAGCCACCTACTCGGCCGAGCGGGAGCTCCAACTCGGCCGAATCTCATGGCCATAAACACCGAGGACTGATGACTCAGTCAGACTTGTCTGAGCTTTTGTCATTTTCATTCGGACCCTGCAGTCCTAGTGAGTGGGACGAGTCCGAGCCTCAGTCACTGGTGTTTTAAACACTGCTTTGTTCCATGTTCTGCACAGATATGAAATATGTCAAGAAATATAGGCCTCGTCTTTTCATATGGATGGTGAAATGAAATCTAAAGTAATGTCATTGTATAACAGATTCAAGAAGTACTGCAACGTGCGACTATGGATAGCAATTCACAAGTGGGGACAATATTCCAAGTGATGGATGCAGAGGAATCACCTCCCACATATTTCAGAACTAATCGTTTCACACATGCGTTTCAAGAAATTGTTGATGCCTATGGGTCAGTACATTAACCATGTCATAAGCCTTTTTGTTTCCAATCTTTCCTTGAGCACATTATGTTTAGTATAGATATTCGTACCATGTCCTAAAGATTGTATCTACAATAGGAGTTTCTTGTTGTGCACAAATGGGTTGTGCCTAGTTTACCTTTGGGGCACATTAATGTAATGAGATGCATCACTTAGAAACAATGTTAAAGAAAAAGGACTTGGATCAGGACTGCTAGGGTCCCCAGCCTGAGTCAGGTCTGTCCGACTGGTCTGAGTCTGTCAGAGACTCAGCCAAGTCCTTAACTAGAAATTGATAAAATGTTGGGAATCAACCAGGCCTGGTCTGTTCCCATTTTTGGTTCTTCACTCGGCATCTTGCCAAGTCTGAGTCAGAGTTAAAAAATTTCAAAAAATATATAAAATGTGATTATAAAAATTTCAAAGTATTTCAGGAATAACATGTTATGTGATAGTGGATAGTTTAACTTATTATTTGTGTCTAATATATAAACTCTGTGTGCTGATAGAATAACAAATGCCTTTTCTATTTCTATTCTCTAACATAATTAGCATGGAGAATAAAAGATCTAATCCATTCATTAAATTTAAAAAAAGAAAAAGGAAATACATAAATATGCCAAGCACTCAAGCAAGAAAGTAAGCATAGTATTATACTACTAAAAGAAATTTGGAAGTAATAATTTTTTGCCAAATAGTAAGCATCTGGAAAGCACAAGCAAAAACCAAAAACCTCTAAACCAAAACACGACATGGACAACAAAATGATAACTAGTCTCAGTCAAGGGGACCGTTGATGTAACTTGTACATGCATTGTATACCATCAATGCTATACAGTCAATCTTTTCAAAAGAGAAAAAGCTGTTAAATGCAGCGGCATTGAAGCAGCAGGCCCTTGGCTAGTATTCTGCTCCTGTATCTCCCATTATGAGCGCAAAATCAACTTGAGAAGTTGCTGGTAAAATGTATGTGGAAGATAAACTGAAATAAAGGGAATAATGATTTTGATATTTTGGTTTAATCCTCTTAGAACCAAAAAGTTTGGTTCTAAGATATTTTGAGGGGATTATACTCCCTCACAAGCCTTTTTACTCCCTCGCTTTAGGGAAAGGACCATTTTACCCCTCCTGGGCTATTTTCTGTCCACTTGTAGGTCCAAATTATGCTGCCACATGGGCGTGACTTGATGCAGCCACCTATGTGGCAGGGATTGCCCTGGAGGGTGCCTCATGTTTGCTGCCTTTGCGGGCTAAAGCACTGCGCTTAAGGGCCTTTCTACATAGATTGGGCTGCATAATGCAGCTTATGGTCACATTTGTTAACTGTGGAGTGGATCCCCCTTCTCAGCTTGCAATACTTCCAAGTGTTAACGTTGTTACTGATGTGCTGTTGAGGACATGCAGAGTGCTACATTTCCTAATGTTTCTTAGTTAAAGAGTATTGGACGACTATCGCCCCAACAAATAAGCATGGAATGTTGAGTAGCAGTATTTCATAATGAGAAGATGATGCCATGCTTTTTTTTTATTAACTTAATGTACCACGTAGCTTTTTGAAAGTTATAGCATATTAGCTACAGGCTGAAGTTGTTTTAGAATGAAGGGACTTTGATGTGCTTTATATTCTCATGGATGACTAACTTAGAGGCCATCTTTATCACAAGTGTTGATGGCAATTTTAGTTGGAAGTAATGTTGTTGGCTTCATTTTTGGATTCCAGTTTGGTTTGTTTCAGGAATACAAGTGTGTGTTTGCTGACTATTCCGTGGAAGGTTGAGGGCTTCCTTTTCTTATTTTCTAAAAAGAAAATTGAGGAAAGGCAGATTTTGCAAAACATTCAAGAGGGCCAAAAGAAAAACTTTTGTATTCTGTTCAGTATTCACAACATATATATGTATAGAACATGAGGGTAACTTGCATAGTAAGATATGGTACATAACTTACATAGCAAGATAGGTACAAAGTGTAACACACCTCCTTACCTTCTGTGATATATAATAGACGTACTGTGGACATGATACACTATATTTACTATATATGATATGATAAACTATAAATGATACGAGATCTTCAACAATCTCTATAGATTCGAGAGTTCTTTGCCCCTTGAAGGTCGTGTAGAATGTTCATGCTAGTAGTAGGGTTAATAACGTTATGGTGTTGTGGATGTGTTAACCCCCACATTTGCTTTATACTCAATTGTCTATGTGCATGAAAATTTGCAGTTCCTGGTCTGATGGATTTGGAAGGAAGCCAGGCCTTAAATCTCTGCTTCCTTTGGCTTTTTTTTTGGGTAATTTAGTGGGGAAGACAGGACCCTACCCGTTTTTTCAATAGATTGGAGAGTTACATTTTGAAGCTGTTAATTGGGGGCATAGTTTCAAAAAGCGGACCGCCCAACGCCTAGGCGCTCCAAAAGGCTTGGGCGCATTGCCCAGGCCTAGACGGTAAAACTGGGCGGTCCGTCCCTGGGCGGCTGCCTGGGCGGTACGGAACCCACCTAGCGCTCAGCCCTGGGCGGCCGCCCAGGGCCTACGCGCCGCCCAGAGGCAGAAAAAATGATATATTTTTTTTATTTTGTAATTTTGAAAGATTTAAAGGTTAAGAATGATGGCTTTTAGGTTCATTTGAACCCTAAACCCATAAGAAGCCCCTTTAGACTAAAAACAACTTCCAAGAAGCTACATTTCATTGGATCGATCATCGAATCATCGAAGTGTTTCTCAAAGTTTGGAGTTCAAGCAACCAAAGTAAGTGCATTTTTTAGATTGCTTGCTTTATTTTGATATGTCTTCTTCAGGAGTTAGTCGGAGTGGAGATCCAGGTTGAAAATATGGATACAACCCGAATCCAAATGACAAAAATTGCGTTAGATGCAATTTTTGTGAAAAAGATACAAAATGAGGCATAAACCAATGTAAGAAACATCTTGCCGATATTAAAAGGGATGTTGCTCCTTGTAAAAATGTTCCTGAAGCAGTCAGAGAGGAGATTAAGCAATTTTTAAGTTATGTAAAACAAAAACAAGAACAAAATCCTTGTTATAGATCTATTTCTGCTACTCCTAGAAAAAGTGATCTGGGTTGGAAGTATGGATATAATCCAAAACCAAATGATAAAAATTGTATAATGTGTAATTTTTGTGAAAAAGATGCCAATGGGGGTATTAGCCGATTAAAAAAACACCTTGCTGGTGTTAGAGGTAATGTTGCTTCTTGTACAAAGGTTCTTGAAGTAGTTCGAGATGCGATTAGGCATCTTTTGAATTTTGAAAAACCAAAAAAGGATGAAAATAAGCCTTGTTCTATAGAAGTATCTTCTCCAGCTTCTAGTCGCTGGAGTGGTGATCCGGGTTGGAAGTATGGTTATATCCCGAATCCAAGTGATAAAAATCGTATTAAATGTAATTATTGTGGAGATGATACTGATGGGGGCAGTTACCGGTTTAAAAAGCACTTTGCCAGTATTACGGGGGATGTTACCCCGTGTAAAATGTTCCTGAGGCTACCAAGGAGGAAATTATAAAATATTTGAGTTCAGAGAAGCTAAAAAAGAAGGATACAACAACCAAGACTCTTTGGGCCTCATCTGCACAGACTACACATACTAGTAAGAGGAAGGTAGAAGAAGAGGAAGAGGAAGAGGCAGATTCAAAAGAAATAGAGGAGGATGAACGTTATATTGAAGAGGGAGATGACTCTGATGATGATGGCCTTGACTCTGATGCATATGATGAGGCTTGCGCTATTGATATTCCTTTTGGTGATCATGATGATGATGATTGAAGACTCTTGCCTCTTGGTGCTGAGTGTTGAGTGTTGAGTCTGTTGACTGTTGTGTAACTTGTGTTGAGTCATGAGTGTTGACTTTGTTAGACTATATATTTTTTAAATTTCTGTATATTTCTGTTGTGTTAGGTGTTGACTTTTATATCATTTGTATGGTTTTACAGTTTACTGTTTAACAATATGGATTATCAAAATTCTCTTCTCGACTTCTTTTTTTTTTTTTTTCAAGTTGGACAGAGAAAGTATGTAGAGGATAATAATTTCCATTAATCAAAGCAAGGGATCATCTCATACATACATGATCGATTGGGGTGTAAAACGTACACAAATACCCCTGTACAAATAACGTGATGTAATATTCTTAAACAAACTGGCTAAAGCCAAATATATTTGATTATGTGTATCTCAATACCGCCTTTAGTAAGGAAGTTGGCTATCTAACCATATGGGGAACACAAAAAACCATGAGCAAGAATCTTTTGCATGGAATGAAATTGGCTGCGATGTGCTTGGTCCAATAATTAAAGATAGGCTTGGTGGCTATCCTTACTCTTGTTATCCTCATGCACAGGAGTATGGGAGACAACTTAATTAAACAGGAGAGAAGACTTGTCGTCGTACCTGACTGACTTCCTCTCATGCTCGCTACCCCGCGATGACCACACCCTGGATGACTATTCGTTATTGGCCTTTCCTGCAACCTACCAAGAGGGGAGAAACTCCTAGCCAGCAGTACCATGGTGAACAAATGCTCTTCCTTCCATTCCTTGCCCCGCCTGACTGATGAAATTCTATATCCACCTTTTTATCCCTGCCATAAGTCTTTGACCCGTTCTAGCAACCTCTGAGGGAGTTGAATCATGCATGGTCATGGAATCTTGTTGGAAGCAGACGACATCGCAAGACTTGGCTTCAAACTGGATTTGGAAAAACCCCTTGCTTCTTACAGCTCTAAGAAACACGAGAATCTTCAAGGAGAACCCAATAATCTGTAATAGATTGTTGAGTTTCCTGGCAACCAGCCCAATCAGAGTCATCAAAGGCAAGATGCTAAAGATGAGATCTAGTAGACAAAAGGAGTTTCAACCAAGGTTAAATCTGATATATGGTGATTTGTACAAGAATGGCTGTCGTTGGATGTGCTTGTAAGTGCCTGATGGTTTGGAAGAAAGTTTCACCAATTTGGTTCTGGACGGCCCCCAAGTTTGAAAGAAGTCTGTTCATTTTTGTCTTCAATAGTACACTTGTCATCCTTAAACTTTACTGAATGGTTGTTTTTGTCATGAACTAATGCTTTGATCTTGTAGTATTTGGAGTCAAATGGATACATTGGATTGGAATTCTATTTGTGGATGCATGATGTGGTGTATTTCTGTTAGTTCGCTACAGAGTTAGGACATTTGGTGCATGGGTAAGGTGTTTTTGATAAATGGAAATTCCTGATAATACTCAAAGGGAGTTTGAAGGAAAACAAGATCAGTGACCTGTAATTTAGCAAAACTTGCTTAATCATTTCTTCTACTTAAAGTCTTGATTGACCACTAGTTTAGTTATACTTATTGAGGGGCTTATATCTAAAGTAAACAACAAATGATAATAGATATGTGAGAAGGTATGCAATGTAACAATTTTATTGAATGCACTTCCATTGCTATCATTCTTAGAATTCTTTAAAGCTTTTTAACATTAAATACTTTGTGTCAGCTTCTGAATATATGACTTTCTACTCGAGTTAAATGAAGAATTTTTTTTTAAAATTTATTTATTTTTTATTTTATAAATGTTCCATATGTAACTGCTGTTAATTGTTTTTGGCAGTGTTGCTCGGTACCAAGAAGCAAATCCTGGAGTGTACACAGTCATCACATTTCCTTTTCTTTTTGCTGTAATGTTTGGTGATTGGGGTCATGGAATCTGCCTGCTGTTGGGATCATTGATCCTGATAATCCGAGAGAAAAGGCTTGGCTCTCAGGTATGAAAATGGGATGAACTTTCATATATTTGATGCAAAGTCACTTATTGTAATGGAGAAAAATTTTCTAATCTTGTGAGACCCAAACTTCTATTGCATGAATACAGGATTTTACATGTTTGCAAATTGCCGAAAGGAAAGTGATGTTCTCTGTTTGTCGGACAGTTGTATTTCTTTAAGAAAGACTTTTTTGGAAATATTGAGCATGGCATATGCACTATATTTGCAAAGTTATTGTGATGAAATGATTATCCAATTTTCTTCTTGGTTGAATCTTTTTTTTTTATCTCTAAAGCAAATCAAAATTTGGAAAGATCTGAATTAAATAGAAGCAAAAGTTCCTTCTACCCATTTAAATGAATCGAAAACTCATTTTGCTGTTCGACTAGGCTGCCTCGGTGTCAAGTGAAACTTGTCTTAAAGAGTTCCTAGAACAAACTAGATAACAAGTTTGGAAGTTGTCTAAGCTAATTTTATTTAATAATATCAATTTTGGATTGTTATCATTCATGGAAGTTGGATGATATGCAAAATTCCCTTTTTCGCATAATGTTTTCCCTATTTATGGAATAGTTTCATGATAGTGCATCATGAATAAGAGAGATTAAATGTGAGTTCATGAAAAATGTTGAATGGTCTGATATGTCTAAAAATTGTATGCTTGGAATCTCATGTGGCTAAAGTGAGGGCAAAGTTCTAGTATTGAAATTCGACATCAAAGTAGTGATCAATGGGATTTCTTCTTCTCCACCCATGTTAAACAAGAATCTCTCAACAGAAACATACAGTGACCACTCATTGAGCCACAAATATGAATATCGATCACTGATTGTTTACCTGTAAAATTTGAATGTCATTTTCACTTTTATAGCAGGCTAAAATGTGCTCTTGCTTTCACGGACTGCTTGGGATGATAAACAAAAGTTGATTTCTGGGCATGCTTGCCCTTGTGGACTGGGCTTGCCCTTTTAAGCTAATGCAATTAACTGTGCTTATGGATGCTCCACATGGAATTCTTGACCATATTTTCAAGTCTATATAAATAAAATGCTAATTCTTTTTATTTTCTATTTATGTGCATGCTTTTGGACTTTCAAGGATATGGGTTCTTATAAGTGCAGTAAATTTTATGGCTATGAATATTAGAATTATGATTCCCCTAGTTGTCAAACAGTTCACTGCAAGCCGTTCTTCTAATTGTAGTAGCTTCCGTACAGGAGATTAAGGGAAAAACAGTTTGATATGGATTCCTCGTTTTTAGCATGGATGTACAAAAATTTGACTGCACAAGATAATTGACTTTCTTTCTTCCAGAAACTTGGCAACTTTATGGAAATGGCATTTGGAGGGCGATATGTAATCCTATTGATGGCACTGTTTTCAATCTACTGTGGACTGATTTACAATGAGTTTTTCTCTGTACCTTTCCATATATTCGGGCATTCCGCATATAGATGCCGGGACTTGACATGCAGGTATATGAACTTTTTGCTGATTTCTTTACGCTGAAAATTTGGAGAGGACTGAGTTTGTTATCAATTTTCATGATCACCATGACAAATGCAGATGCACGTTGCTATGAGCATAATAAATCTGAGGAAATATTTTGAGATTTATTTTCTTTTTCTTTTGAAGATTGAATGATCCTGACCTCATTGTTGAGAACGAACATGACCTCATTGTTGAGTGCAATCTCTTATTGTTTTGTTGGTATTGTTGGATCCACCTAAGTGTTTATATCACCATAAACAAAATAATGTGCAATATGTGATTGTTCAAAGACCATGCACTATCTCACTGAAATTGGAATTAAAGGATGAGTGACATGCATTTCTTTCTGTTTTCATGATTAAGTAATTCCATATGTTTAAGGATGAGTGACATGCATTTTTTTTTATCAAAAAAAAAAAAGGTACCTATTTCCATATGTTTTTATTATGTTCTGTTTCACGGGGTCTATATACCTATTTGGTACTTCTCATTTAACATAATATATTTTTGTCAGTGATGCCTCTAGAATGGGTCTAATCAAATATAGGGGTCCATACCCGTTTGGTGTGGATCCTAGCTGGCGTGGAAGTCGTTCTGAGCTGCCGTTTCTTAATTCCCTGAAAATGAAGATGTCAATTCTGCTTGGGGTGGTACAGATGAATCTTGGAATAATTCTTAGTTATTTCAATGGAAAGTTTTTTGGTAGCTCTATAGATATACGGTGAGTGTAACTTTGCTGGTCAATCTCTGCATATTATTCTTCCAAATCACCACCTAAAACATGTGTGAAATACTTATTACATCCACTTATGTAGGTATCAATTCGTCCCTCAGATGATATTTCTGAACAGCCTCTTTGGTTACCTAGCGCTCCTTATTATAATTAAGTGGTGTACGGGTTCTCAAGCTGACCTATATCATGTGATGATCTACATGTTCTTGAGTCCCATGGATGATCTTGGTGAAAACCAGTTGTTCTGGGGCCAGAGACCACTACAGGTTGAATGCGTACTAGATTATTTTTTCAACAGCAGGAGGATCTTCTAGTTATGTTTCTTATATTTTATATCCTGTAAAAATTTATACTAGATACCCCCTTGCAGATATTGTTGCTGCTCATGGCAATTGTTGCAGTTCCATGGATGCTCTTCCCAAAACCATTAATTTTAAGAAAACTTCATACTGAGGTTGGTTATGTTTATCATCACTTATTAATGTTTATGTATTTTTGCTTTGCTTTTCTTCGTTCTTTCTCGAAACTTGCATGCATGGAGTTGTGTAAAACTAGTCGCCAGTGAGTTAATGATTGAAATCCTATTTAGAAGTTTACTCAGCTACCATGATCATTTTTCTTACAAGAAAAGTTTCTTGTATTCAGTGATTTATATTTGCTGGCCCCAGAACTGCGCAGGACCAGTCAGCAAGTTGGGCTCGACTGAATGCGAGTCAGACTGTCAGACTCGGTTGAGTCTTAAAAGAAATTACTAAGAGAACATGGGAACCGGTGAGACTGGACCTGCTTCCAAGGTCCTTCACTCCGGCCTGGCACCCTGCTGGATGTCGGGCCCGAGTTGACTTCAAATTGGAATCAGCAAGTTTTGAAACTTGTGTGGGTATATAAATATGACTGCTTGAGATTTTATCTTGAACATCTCATGTTAAGTTTATAAATTTTGGTTTCATGCTAATGAGGATTCTCTTTTTTTTTTCTTCCTCTTAGAATGTTGGAGTCATTTTACTGTTTCTTCTATTGCTTTCCATAGAGTGCCACTAATAAACTATGAAAACATTGATCCATCAACTATTGCATGTTACAACTTCTTGTCCATGAAAAGTTGTTGCATATCTATTCCTTAGATTCATGTTGAAGATGCCGAGGATTTTCTTACTTGTGCTGCACATGGATGCACATCCATATATAGATAGACTGAAAGATAATGATTTGAAAGCAGTTTTAAAATAATCCTAGAGTTTGGAATTCAAAGTGCCTCTGCCTTCTAATGCAAATAACTTTTACGGTAGTGGCAGCTTGCGTTATCGAGCATACATGATATTGAAAACTTCGTAGGTCTGATTATATTTCTTTGGGTGTAGCCTTATCGAATTGTTGGTTGCATGCCAAAAACAAAGCATCTCTTCTTTTTTGCCCTTTGCATATGATGCCAAATAACTCCGCCCAGAAATTACTTACACTAGAGGGAGGGCATATTTTCCATCCACTATTTTAGGAGCATTTAAGAGTGTTATTGTGAAACTGAATATCCCACCAAAGCAGACAAATTTGATATGGAGACACAATACACATATGGATGACAGACACAGACATGTGATAGTAGATGCATAAATAGATGGATAGATCAGATCTTCTATCCTTTTTTATTATGTGAGAAATATAATATCGTTTACTAATATTTTGGATGCAAAATTGCTAGGACTCCTATTGTATAAGATTTTTGGGCACAACTATGTTTGGTCATTTGCTTGGTGCATCACAAAAACAAATCTTGACATAAGAGACTTCATGCAACATAGAAAAGGTGTGGGACATTTACACTTGTATCACTATTAGCCATTATCTTATTTTTTTTTCTGTGTTCCTGTCTAATAGCGAGTACATCCGAAAACTAAAATAATGGGCACTTGGAAAAGCTTTTATGAAGCTTTATGTGCTTCACTATTTTTGGGGAAGGTTAACATATCCCTTAAATAGCAATTATGCATGGATGTGGCTATGGATACAGCTATAATTTTTTGTGATTTATTAAGAATCCACCAAAGATATGGTGCTCATTTGAAGTACGTGTACCCTAGCTATAAATATAGCATAAGGTGCGGATCTATTTTTTGTTTTCTAAGGGCAATCATTTCTTTATTAGTCTACCATCTCTTAAAGAAGGAACTTTTCATTCTACCAAGACTGTCTTCATGATGTTTCTTACATCTTGGCTTTATTTCTGGGAAAATAGTATGAATCTGAGAAGGGATTATTCAAATCACTGAATCACAATATTGATCTAGGACTAAGGGAGCTTGGCTCTCAGACGAGTGTTAACACATGAGGTGGGCTTGGAAGAAGGGTTTGGGGTAGGTTTTGTAGTTCTAATTTGGTTAAGATTTAGGACATCTGAAGGGTTTAGCTTACTTACAAAGTTCAGAACATTAGGGTTTTGGATGTGTTGAATCTCCTATAAATGGGTAGGAGTAGATGGTAGGAGGATGGGATTACGGCTCAGACAAGGTCTATGGGAGAGGGTTTGGTGTGGTTAAGGTGAAGTTAAGGGTTTGGTTTAAAGGATTAATGAATGTCCAGACCCTCTAAAATGAGGGCTTTGTTCTATATATCTAGAGGTGAAAGGTTTTGTTAGCCCTAAATAACATATTTTATGTGATTCTCAGCCAGTTCACACATATAAGGGTTATTGTGTAGGATTGACATTACATTTAGTCCTTGGGGAGCATAGACCTCCAGAAAACTTTAAAAGTCAAGCTTCACATGCTGAAGCTTTTACTTACGTTTTCCATTTTTGTATTTTACATGCATTAAATCTGTTCGTGCAAGTTTACATTTATCATATCACCTTGGGGTGAACCATATGCCATTTGATATGTATAGTCTAAGATATCTTTGGCTGAAAATGAAGTAGACTTAGTAGTTGGAGAGTTTTGAACAGAGTTTTGTCTGCTTAGCAGAGAACCACAATGTGCATATCGTATATCAATACCTGACCGTAAAAATTCCCAAAAATATCTGACCTTAATGTCTTTGTCATTTTTCTTTTCTCTACAAAATGTCACATATAATATTTTTGAAAGACCAGTGTGTTCTTTTCTTTCAAATTTTATCCCTTGTTTTGATCCACATATTGGATCCTAGGAATCAAGATTCTGAAATCTGCATAATATAAAATGCATCTTACAGTATTTAATAATGGTTAGATCTGTCTTATACTAGGCTTGACTCCTTGTTAACGATAACATAAGCATGGTCCATGTGGTTTACCATCAGAACCAAGCACCAAGCATGCTTCAATGAGCATTAATGTTGAAGATGTGATGGCTATAAAGTTAAATGCATCAAGATTGGTGTTATATGATTAGCCAAAAAAAGAAAAAAAAAAGAACATATATGTGTGAGTGACATGATACAACACATGCACAAATGAAGGAAGTAAAAAGGCACAAGTACCATTGGTTTGACTGGCATTTCAGAATTCTGCCTTGGAGAGCAGGATAATTACCTATATGCTAAGGACAAACCAATTAGCCAGAGAATATTCAAAGGACAGCCTTTAAATATGCAAGTCCTGATTATGGCCAAAATTGAAGTGCCTCAAGATGAGAAGCACTGGGACCTTTGAAATGACTAAACCAGGTCAACAGACTGTAAACATCAGCATGTTGTTGATTATTTTGTTTCATGGTTCCTTTGGTTATAGATTTATACCCTCAGCTGCTACTTTCATTAATTCTTTAATGATTTGAACGTCAGTTATAGTCTATGTTACATGGATTATTCGACAAGGGTCCCGTGCCTGTGTCGGAGACGTATGGACATGCTTACCCGTATGGATTCTTCTGGATTCATAGTTGGATTGGGTGATTTCGGGAATGGGAGGTTATGCAGACTATTACATTGAAGACCCAATGGCGTGGTAGGCGAAAACCATAGGGGTTCAAATTTTGGTGTTGAATCAAAAG